GCGATGAATGCGTGAGGAGGAAAGGACGGAAACCCTTTCTTCTCTCCTTCCTCGTGCGCCCTTATCCCCTCCCCCTCTTTCACTCCACTTCAAATGCTTGCCACATAGACCACAAATCAGGGTGTGACCAAGCAAGCCTTTGCTCTACATAATACAGGCTATTTTGAAAACAGCCCATTTTAGAACGAGAACGCTATGGACGCGCGAGGATGAAAGTAGAGAGACCATTTGGGCCAGTTGTTTAAACGGAGTTTAACCCGTGTTTAACAAAACCGCGTTCTAGGCCATTTTCAGTTTGCTCAACGTTTTTGTCTAAACACCATTTTTCGTGAAAAATTTCAAGAAAGTATATAGTGCAGACTGGAAAGGCACTTATTTTCTTCAATTAACCCCTTAAGAAAAGGATCTGGAAGTCCAATGTTTTCCTAAACCGCGGCCTAAGTTAGACTTCGTTAAATTTCCTCCTCCCTAACGCGCCCTAATTCCCACATTTCCCTTGCCCTTCAAGTGTATTCAACACAGGCTTCAAATCAGTGGTGTGAACAAGTAAGCCTTTGTTCAACGTGGTGTAGCTGAAGGTTGTTTCAAAAAAGGGCCCTCAGATGTCAAAGGTCTCGTTGTTTACCGTCTCTGATAAAAAAATGTGACAAACCTTTTGTCCGGAATCTTGAACTCCTTTTTCAGTTGCTCAGCGACTTTTAGGTCTCCTTGAAGTATGCACTGAAAAGTGTAAAGTAGTTCTTAGAAACTAATGACAGTGTATGGGTATTAAATCTGTGACAATGAAGAAACTAAAGCTACTTTTAATAGTACTTTCCACCGCGGTTTACTTTGCTTTGGTTTTAACTACCAAGTCTAGATAATAGTTTAAAAATAACAATCTCAACAAAAGTTACTGAGCAGAGATCTGAGAGATTCCAGCGTACACTGTTGATTTCAACTTCTAACATTTGACAATCTTTTAGTATGGCCATTCGAATGAAAGCTTGTACTTGACAAAGATTTCCAGCGGCACTGTTTATTAAGCTGTTAAAGGTAGTATTTGACTATATTGATGACATCTTAATTTTGATCATTCAAATGAGAGTTACTTTTCAGAGCTTTTTGTATTAATTGACGTTTCTGAGTAACTGACTACCTACCCCTCCCCTAAGTTACAATGTTGCCCTAAGTAAGGAAAAAGTGTTACTGTTGACTTAATGGGGGACGCGGGGGGGAAGTGGTCAGTTACCCAGAAACCTCAATTGATCTAGCTGCCCAACTGTACTGATCATTACAACCTAAGCTCAGATCGTGAACGTTTGAAAATCCACGGTAAAGGCTATCACAGTTTAGTGTCTTTATCGCACCTGGTAGATAGTATCGCTCAAGGACAGGTCCATAAATGTCTTTCTTTACTTCTATTCTAGTTTGACTTGATATTATACCATGAGTTTCATTTGTTCTTCTGTTGCCCGAAAAATTAAATCGCGCGTATATAGAATGTATCACTGAGGGAAATGTTTTATTGAGATATTTATATTATAGTTCAGAGCAGTATAACGCGCACTCTGATTGGCTTAAAAAGCGTGTTTATCAGAGTACAAAACGCGGAGCACCCAATACACCCAATGCAAAAATGGCTGCCAGATTAATATTCTTTTGTTTAAAATCAAATCAGCCTAACTAAGCCTCGCTTGCGATAATGTATTCTTTTGAATTTTGTACTGGAGAACGAGGCTAGTTAGGCTAATTTAAATTCAAACAAAAGAATGTTAATCAAGCAGCCATTTTTGCATTGGGTCTATAGTTTGTTATGAAAATTAGAAAGTAATGAGTGGCGAATTTAACGGATTCTTTATCATAAAACTACTAAAGACACCTTTACTGTGCTTTTTTATGTTACAAAGCACTTGAGAAGTGGGGAGAAACACTCAACTACGTCTCGTGTTCCCCCTACATTTCTTTCGTGCCCTAGCCCGGCGCTTTCTACGTGATTTATAACAGAACAGAGCACAGTCAAGGCATTTGTTAATCAAATACAGAGGAGTGGAGAGTTTCTAGGTGCTTTTGGTTCGACTATCGCAAGCTTATCCCGTATCCTATAGATTACTAGGAAAGACACAACGTCCCTCTTCTGTTCCTCCCACATACAGTGAAACCTCTATTAAGCGGACACCTTCGGGACCTTCCCAAGTGTCCCCTTAATAGAGGTTTGTAAAAATTGCGAATTGTTTGTTAACGATTAACATTCAAAGGTTACTCTGTACTGTGATAAAGTTCCATGTTGTTAAGGAAGCTAAGGAAGCTGTGCTGTACTTTGTGCAAGACTTTTAGGTGAACTTTTGACAGCTAAATGTATTCATTTATCTTTATCAATCGACTACAGTACGTATTTCAAGGAGGTAATCCAATACTACTATTGTTAATTTACAGAATTCAGTCCGGTGTCCGCTTAATAGAGGTTTTTAACAATAGAAATTAGCCAAATACAATTTATTTTAGTGTCCGCGTCCGCTTAATAGAGGTGTCCGCTGAACAGGGATTCGTTATAAAGGCTAATATAAGACGTTAATTTCGGGACCCGGTTTAGAGTCCCCTTAATAAAGGGTGTCCGCTTTATTAGGGGTCCGCATAATAGAGGTTTTACTGTGGTAAGAAATGGGTGACGCTAGCGTTGGTGGAGTTTGGAGTACCTATTTTAAATCAAAGAAACAAAGTGAAGAGCACACACCTTTGAGTAGAACTGAAATCCTCCTTGCTGGTAAGACATCTGTGCTTTGGACAATGTTTTTATCTTGGATTCTATCGTCTAAACAATGAAAATAGACGGAAATCATGCGAAATCAGGTTTTATGTCAAATGTACTGACAAGCGATACGAAAACAATGATTGTATTCTATGGCGGGTGATAACGAATTGCCTCTCATTTCTCAAGGAATAAAAACTTCAGCGCCAATCTCCTTCCCAAGGCAGTTGCGTAGGAGCTGCTTGGAAGGTCTCTCCTGATTGGCCGCAGAAAACAATGACATGTCATTCTTTTAATTGTTTCAGTATTGTATGGGGTCAGGGTTAGGCACCACTGGTGACTTCTCTTCCGAGCAGCTGCAACATGACCTTCCCAAGGCTTTCATCCTGTTGGTTTAGCAATAAAAGTGACTGTTCTGCCAGACAAGGCTAAGAAAAGCTCTGAGGCCCAGATTGCAAGAGAGACCTGAAGGCGTCACGCAACTCATTTAACCCTTTGCGTGACGGCCTTCCTTGCAAGTTGCGATTTTCAGGCGTGCGTGCTTTGTTTGCTCTACGACACCTGTGAAAAATATCAGATACCTTGTTGACTTAAGTCGACTCCTATTCTTGTCGTTTCTTTGGTCACGTGGTCGCCGAATTGAGGGCTGGCAACAATAAGCGCACGTGTAGTAGATATCACTGGTTATGATAAAAACTAATTTTGGTAAAGGTTTCCAGTTTAAGCACAAGAGATGAACGAGTTAAATTAAAAATAAGAGTTGCTACACGTATTCTCGGCTCTCAATAACGTTCAAAATAAACAAAAGTGCTGCTGACCTTAAGAGGAGCAAGTTTATCCCATTTTCTAACCGGAAAACTGAGGTAAAAATGGAACTTGGTAGTCTGATAAAGTCACAACAAAAATATTCTATGACGCCATGAAGAAACGGAGTGAGGCGTGCGCACCTTTGCTCAGAATTGAAATTACATATTAAGCCAATAAAGAAATAAAATAATAAAACGACTTGCGACCAGATCCCCTCCTAAGCAAGATAGCATTTCAAGCTACTTTATATGATACCTTCTCGCTATAGCTGTCCTGCACAAAGGCATTACCACTGTTAATAAACTGGTCATCCTGGTAGAACAGGTCCACAAGTGTACGACGATCCTGATCCTTACAGTACTGCAGACAAATCACAGTCATGTCAAAGTGAATATATAGATTTCACAATAGCCTGCGTGACAGGTACAAAACGAGGGAAGGGGGAGGGAGAGGGAAAGAGAGTGAAGGGAAAAGGTAGAAGAAATGAAAAAAGTGGTCCTAGAGCAGGCTTCCCTTTCCCACTTTCACCTTTTTCAATACCTCTTAAGACGCCTGCCACACAGTTTAATGATTTACAATAACCGAGTGTTTTCTGCGCCCCGATTGGTCGACAGGTTTTGCTCATGACAGTACAGAGAATAGAAACGAAAGATCCTTCTCGTCTCTGTCTGTTGAGCGCGATTCTCCAAGACATTGTAGAAAAACAACAACAAATAGCTAGACAAGTAGCCATTTGTCACTGCCGAGGCTCCGACATTTCAAAGAATTGACATTAGATGGTACAAACGTTACCGTAAAACCACTCACTCCTCCAACATTTTGATGTCATTTTTGTGATCTTAAAGAGTGAACGCATAAAAGGAAAAACGTTTCCTAGCAAATACAATATTAGCGTTACGTTGAAGGACCTTACGGCAAGTTTTCTCTTGGTTGGAGCCTTGAACAAATACACACTCATTTACACAACTCTTTTCTCATAGACTCACCTTGATGTGGAGGCTGAGTGCCACAGGACGGTAACGTATGGCCATCAAGAACTCGCCAGGAATTAGATTATCCTTCAACTGCATAACAACCATAAATACTAGAAAGAAAAAAAAAGACAACAAAAATGAAATGTCATCTAGATACAGGGGAAAATCAAGTAGGCGGGTTTTGGATGACGGCGGTTCGGATCCATCAATTTTGATCACCTGAGAAGAGAAAGCTGTTACCATTGGAGGAGAATCTACAAAACAAGTTCAAAAATGTTTTACGGTTTGCAACTCTGCCCGTGCTTGTAACACCGCTAGTGTAACGCCAACTTTTAGGCTGAGAAAAAGTTGATTCTAATTTTTTTGAACCTTTGGTACAAGTTCAACATAACGATAGACCTTCCTATAAGTCGGCTTTTGAGCGACAACGACGAAACAAAACGGACTTAAAAGATCACCAAACTGCTGTAGCTAACCGCAGTGGTACCCACTCACAACTCACCCAGATCCGTGTCTCCACTCATAATGGCCTTCTCGAGAGCTAGGTCATCTTTATTCATGCGCATGAGCAGTGGAACTTGGTCAGCGGCTTCCGCCTCATAGTCCAAAAGCTACAGGTAAAAAAAAAACAAGAAGATGTGAGCATCTTGAAAGATACATTCTGAATCATGAATTGGGTATGATAGGCTCGCTTACCGATTGTCAAACGACGAACTTACTATGGTGAGATTGCTCCAGCTAGAGGTCAAGGCTGGCTTTAAGCCAGGCTGTAAGCAGGTCTCCTCGAGGAGGCACAGGCGGCGAAGCCACGAGAAAGGCCGTAGGCAAAACCTGGACCGCAGAACCGGATCAGATCATTCCCAGAGGCACTATCCCTTACCTTTCGTTTATTCAGTCAGTTACAGGGGTTGCTCTGATCCGTTCTGTTCCAGGTGTTGTTGACGTCCCATGAAACGAGCATGTTGGTAACCCCTCGAGCGAACCACGGTGAAAGCTAAGAATTTATATTCATCAATTAAGTTGACATAGGAAATTTGGCATAGTAGGGACATTTCGAGTGCTTGACGAAGGGCTAGAGCATAAAACTTCAACATGTTTTTTTATATTGAATTAAAAACGTCAGTTGTTAAAACCCTCGATGTTTCTTTCCCTCATTGCTCTTCTTTGCAGCCGTAAGTTTTGTTTCTCGACGGGTGCCCAAATTTTAAAAAAAATTTTTCGGAAATTTTTTTTTGCATTGAACTTTGCTTCCGGGAATTTCTAGAATTTTCGATTGAATGCATGGTTCACATTTCGGAAATTCAACATCTTTCGGAATTTCTGGAAACTTTTCCTGGACATTTCTGTACCATTTGCCGCTGTTTCCAATTTTCGAACGTTTTGGTTGAATGGAAAGCGCCCGTTGTTTTGCAACAACAACAACGTCAAACAACAATTGGTTTTATGAGCAAAACGACTGCTCTGCACGTGAATCACGCTTTTGGTACATTTCTTTGACGTCCACTGCACGACTACGACGTGAAACCTCCCAATGCGACGTTTTATGGAGGACGTGGACATACGAAAACAAATTTTCCGTTCTCTATTTGAACATGGATAAAGACAATAGGAATTTAACTCCAGGAAAAGTCGCCTACATTTAACGAATTAAGCGGTTCCAAATAGACGCGATAAAGATTGAAAGGACGCGGGAAATTCATTTTCTTAGTGACGTTTTCACTGCCGTCGTCGTCGTCGTTGCTTAAGCTGGCTGATAAAGTGCAGCGCTGAAAGCAAGCGAGGTCTTAATACTCCAGGTACGGAAACAATTCTTGATTACTCACAGTAAACGCAATCCCGCAGGTAAAAATCCCATTCTATATCAACCCACGTTATTTTGAAACTCGTGCATTTAGCAAGAAAAATACTAACGGAAGACACCAGTTTATGTCCCAAATTGAACTGGGAACGTATAGTCTATAATTATACTGTTCATGTGAATGCTCTCAACTAACCTTGATGGCCAGGTGCGTTCGTCCACAGTCCACTGCCTTTGAAGCTATTTCTGAGTAAGATATCCCAGGAGTCTCTGCGAGCTTGGAGTTGATGGCACGAGCAATCTCTTCGTCATCAACATTGGCTTGCTGAACCTGTTTAAACAAGAAAAACAAGTTTTGAAGAAGTGAAGGATCGAAAGAGATGTCAATATATTCAACACAAGAAAAACTATTTACGGACACTATTGTATTCTACTAGGGCGGAGAAGTTAATTTCAATGTGATCATCCCAGCCATGTAAAAGTCCAACTGTTTATTTATTGAGGAAATAGAACACAACAGGATTAAAAACCCCAGCTGGCAGGAGGCAACCAGTTGGCTATTTACAAGTATGACCGGGTATCTGAACTTGGAAATACCGCGAATAAATTCAGCAAGTGGCTAGAGTAAGACTCCAACCCGGGACCGGCGGATTGTGAAAACAACATGATGGGCGCCTGGCCACGCCGTCTTCCCCGCGTACAATCCAGTATAATTGATCTAGATCTTTTCATAGGTTGATTTTGTGATCTTTGATAAATAGACAAACACGAAGAGCAATGTACCAAATTCAGCACATGAAACAACCACCGGACACCCAACTCCACTCACGTCTACTGCCACAACTATAATTTACCATTACCAATTTTATCAAATTACCAGCCATAAGCTGATTGCGGGAAGACCCCTGCTTACATATAGGTAACAGCCAACTGGTATCCGCTGGTTACACTCACTTTATAACAAGCCCAGTGTCCAAGGATGCGACTGGCACCCTCCCCCTTAGGAATCTTCCAGTAATCACAGATTCTTATGGCCAGACAGTAGTGACGCCTCAAAATCAAGCCTACATGAGCGGAAAATAAACGGTAATAAAATAAACTTAAGGGAAATAATTCCCTCTCCAGGTCTGTTGGTGGAAAAATCAATGTAGTAAACACGGTTTAGACACGGAAAGTAGGCAAGTGAAAAAACAACAACTTTGCTTCAACTTGTTTTATATTCACTAGGAATGCAAATAATTTTGATATTTAGAAATGACTTAAGTCCAACCACGTTACCATTTTAGTCAGGCAAAAGAGAAAGGTTATCGGACATACATCATATTCATTTTGCTATTTTTTTCTTAAAAGTACTATTTCGTACTATGTACTATAGCGGGTCTGGTGTATAATCAATAAAAATTTCGACCCTCCACACTATAGAGCTCCCAACAGCTCAGTGGGTAGAACGTCTGATCTCGAACTCTCGAACTCGAAAGGTCGTAAGTTTGATTCTCACCTGAAGCTCGGAACTTATTGAACGTTTCACAGTGCAATAAACACTTAAACACTTAATGACTGGTCTCGAGGGAAACAGTTTAATTTGTTTTCCGAGAATCTCAATGTTTCCCGAGGCTATATAGCTGGAAATTCATTAAACCTCGCTTCCCTCGCTGTAACGGTAGCCGTCGGTCAACATTCGCGGGTAACAATGCACTGTTACCCTATGACTTCATAGATTTTGGAATGTTGTCCGCTAACAGATTTTGGCGGGAAAAAGCTTCATTGTGAGATGTCATGTGACCTCGGAGAAACCAATGGGAGCGCGCACTGTTATGAAAAAATTTCCAGCTATATGCAGAGCAATGATAACTTACTTGAAGATGATGTGAACTGCGGAAATACAAGTTTCAATGAAGATATGATCGTCGCAGCGGAAATTCCAATTTAAGCAATTGCAAATTAACCCGAAAAATAAAAAAAAATTTTCGCGTTGCTACGGAGGCTAGCATAGTGTAGACTTGCTCCAACACACGCTGCAATTGGGCAAAATGTAACCTGTGAGACGAGGCTTTTGCAACAACTGAAAATTTGGTTCACTCTTGAATTAAGATAAAGGATACTGTCCATATGTAAGTGGAATGCCAACCATGTAATCCCGCACGGCGTTTAACACTCTAAGATTCCGGCACATCGAAACAAACGCGTGTGGCGGCATATCAGTTAGAAAACTCTCACCAAAGGAAGCAGCCTAGCAAAGAGAAGAAAAGATTACAGCTGAGATCAGTAAAAAAAAACCCGGTTATACTATAGGTGGAATTTTCCCCAACATCGACCGCCGGAGCGGTCTTATTGGTTACTACGAGGACACATGACATGTTACACGAGAAATATTTCCCGCCTAAAATCTCTGACCAAGCGACGTTACAAACTTCGCTGGTAGATGGTAAGAGAGCAGTGTTATCGGCGAATGTTGCCCACTCGCTGAGACTTGCTATACTTTCAATTCATCCTGTATAACTGAAAAATCACTGAATGACGCGTTCGTCGAAAGCATTAATGAAGTCCTTTATGTCTCTTACTACACTCCTCAAATAGAAACATAATGGACGAACTATTGGCGCTCTTCGCTTTCAATTCAAATTACCCAGATATACTGAGTACAGATTTTCTTTTCACGGCATCACGTTCAACGATTTATGTCCAACCGAAGGAACTTCAGCAGATTAACCAAAACATTTTTAGTAGGAGGTGGTGATTTTGCCACGGAAAACAGATAATGTATTTTTCAAACAATGGTAAATTTATCTAGCAGTTTACAGAACACCAATCACTGTGTAAGAAACCTTAAACTTGTCAACAACTCCCTCACCCCCTCGGGGCGGGTGGCTGTGAGAATCGAAACGTAGCAACTGAACATGGGATCATGTGGTTGCCATGACTACCTCCGAAACTATACTCACCCTGAGCAGTCCTCTTTGTATTGCAGGCTCATGTTTCCCGGCAGCGGCGTGGATACATTGCTGGACAGCCTCAGGAAGACGTTCTTTGATCATCCGAATGTACTCCTCTGCTCGGGCGCTCTTTTTCTGTTTACAGGAATATACACGAAAGAATCATAACAACAGCTTAATTTTTAGGGATTAAGGTTTTAGTGCAGTTTAGAATCTTTAAGTTGAAACTTTAATGTTGTTCGTCAGGTATTCTTTTTATTATCATGCTATGGTTTTCTTCATTCATTATTGTTCTTTCTTATGAATTCTGTAAAGCGCTATTGAGCTTTTGGACTGAAATAACGCTATCTAAATAAAGTTGATTATTTTTTATTATATGGAGAAAAGTTGGCTCAGCTAGGATGGTAACCTTACCAAGAAAAAACAGGTCACCCAACAACAGGCTGCCCAGGGTGGCTCGCAGTGGCGGGTCCAGACCTTCAGATAAGGGGGAGCCCGGTCATCCAGACCCCTGAGATAAGGGGGTGCGGTCCCACCCCAGGATCCTTGTCCCTCCCCTGGATCCGCCACTGGCTTGGGTAGGCGGCTGAGCCTTTTACCCGAGACAACTTTTTCCCAGAGAGAGTGAAGCATTGCTTACCTCAAATTCCTGTGAAGCATCAAACAGCATCGCACCTGGTTCCATTGAACCGATTTTAAACACTTGTTCCACAGCAGCTGAAAGATCAATAGAAATTGTTGCTCTAGTATCGGACATAATTATTCACATTCGTGATTAGAAGTGGTTCTGGTTGAACGGTAACCGGTCAAGTCGCCCGAAAGTCATATCGCCCGAAACCAGAGTCATGTCGCCCGAAATCCTTAGTCATGTCGCCCAAAATTTTATCGAGTGTATAGACTTGAAGAAAAGTAACATTTGAAGTATATCGCAAGGAATTTAGTCGAAAAATGTTGACTCAACTGTGTCCGGTAACCTATGCAAATGTGAAGTTAAACAAAGACGCAAATATCGCTATTTATTTCGAGCAACATAACTCAAGATATCGGGCGACATGACTCTGGTTTGGGGCGACTTGACCGTAAACCGATTGAACAAGTCGACTGGAATAAAGTTTAGGGCTTTTTGCTTGTTCGTGACAACAGGGCACCCATTTTCTTTGGAGGGGGGAATACTGAATGTAGAGTCAGTTCCATCTGCTTCCGGGTAGTAAGTTGAAAAATCGTACATGAGCACAGGAAGACCACACTGAGCTAAAGGTTCAAGTACCTACAGGTAACGACACGTTTTAATAGAAGGTAATTTGGAAAAGCATCAAATGTCTGTGGAGAAGAAATAAATCTCAAGGACATCCCGGCCCCCAACAAGGATTGTTATTTTCGGCTACTTCGATAGCTTTATGAATCGAGAACAAGACAGAATATCTGCGAGTATTTTGAAACCTTTCACTTGTAGTCTGCGAATACAGCCGTTTCACCTTGCTCCTTGTCGCTAGGGAGGTTTCGCCAGGAGGAGAAACCGCCCGCAATCAACGTAATCATATTTACCAACCTGGAACTCGCTGAAGCAGTTCATGAGTCTCATTACCAATGATTCTTACGCCATCTAACTCTTGAACTAAATGAACAGCACTGTCCGTCTGATATGTGAAATGTGTTAAGAAAGTGTGCTATCGGTAGCATATGCTTATTTATTAAAACTGACCCATTGAATAATACAGTTAAAGAGCTCTGATTGGCTTAGCCAACATGGTATATGAGCCACATACCAAAAATTGAAAATTGGTTGTTCTTACATATAAAGTCGGGAAGAATTCACGATATTTTGTGGGCGTTTTTAATAAACAATTATTCCACTCATATCCAACGCGCTCTCGCGCAAAAATTGTTAAATATATGGCAATAGCGTGCTCAATGAAAAAAAACTACTCGTATCTACCGTACAGTCGTTGCATCAATGCAACGCGCGAGTATTTAATGCATGAGCCTGACCGTTTCATGGCCCGATCTCGAGAGTAAAGGTACCTTTATTCACCTTGACTGTACGCAAAGGCAAAATTTCTCAAACATTTATCATGCGATCTTGGACATGGGTTTTAAAAAAACGTGACCGGAAACGTAATGGAAACAAGAAAGAAGGGAAATGATAAAAGAAATGTGGCGGAAACATGATCGTTCGTTTCCGACTCGGAAACATAACGGAAACGCATCCCGTCCATGGAAAACTAGATCACCATGTTTCCGCAGGGCGGAAACGAGACGGATTTAAGCAACTTCACGTTTGAGTGGAGTTTACAAAATACGGAAACACGTTATTTCGTCCTGTGACAGTAGTAACAATTGTCAGTTCAGATCAAGGGTGTTTTAAGTAACACGATCAATATACAATTGCAGCATGACAGCACAATTACCAACTTGGCCAAGCCAACATTTACAACAACAAGAAGTACAATTTTTAATCCTAGCATGTTCTAGCAGTTAGATAGCTTGCCTCGCAAATAGTTGGAAAGCTAGTCTGATCATCATAAAGAATGATCTTGTTAATCAAAGGATATCTAATAGTGTCCATTGTCGGTCCAACAACATCCAAATAATCGTCCCAGTAACATATGACAGCGCCCATTGCACACCTGTAAGGTAAGTTGAAATAAGTAAAGATCGGAACACACAAGGAGACAAGTTGCAGCAACACTTGTCGGCGACAGAGTACTCCCTGTGTACAGGTCAGGCGACTAGTTGCTGCAACACGTTGCGGCGATAGATCACTCCCTGTGTACATGTCAGGCGACTAGTTGCTGCAACACGTGTCGGCTACAGATTTCTCCCTGTGTACAGGTCAGGAGATTAGTTGCAGCAACACGTGTCGGCGACACGTCGCTTGATGGGTGGCGGAAGAAAGAAAAACACCGATGGCTCTTAGTTTGAATTCAAAGGAATGGCCCGGCCAACCGGGCGAGAATTCGCCATAAAAGACGAGAGCCTTCATTCTAGAAACAACAATTGCTCCCTCCTTACCAGGTTAGTTGCTTGGGTCTTGATGGACAAGAAGTGTTGAACTCACAGTAGACTTTCTAAAGAAGTCAGAAATACAACAATAACTGCAAAATTCAAAGAACTGCGAAATACAGGCGTACGTAAGTTGAGCTCTTCAGGGCCTGGCCTAGCGCCCGGGTTGCTAAGCCTACTCGCTTTGCGGAGATGTCGGCAAGTTAAATGAACACAATTAAAATCAACTTTGGGATGACATGAAATTGTTTCTGCAAGATTTCCGAGGAAGAAGTGGCTAGACTAAATTAATGATGATATCCCACCATGTAGAACTAAGGCAGATACGGGTCTTCATTTGTTACAAGAAAAGATACCTCAAATTCGAGTAGTATAAACAAAAGCCTTTTTACACGCCTTCTTCAAACCTGGGTATAGAATCAAAGTTAGTACTGCCAGTTGAATTAGACCGCCACTCATTCTCATTTTGTAAGAATCCGAGTCAACTCGGCGCTAGCTACTGGAACTCGTCCTCTGATAGCTAAATTTGCGGGCTGAACAAATGTGACAGTGTTATACCCACCTGTAAATCTGCTGATCCTATCCATAACAAACCAGTGTCTGTAAACATTGCTAGGTATTCATAATTGTAAGATATGGCCATTTCTATGATGGAAGTGACCGTGGCCCCAGCGCTGAATGAAACAGTCGGAAAGTTGAAGAATATCAAAACTATTCAACAACAACAGCAGCCGGCGAGCATACTCACTTGTGTGAGTTCGGGGAAGATTTTTTCATCAATATAAACGATCAAGACTTCGCTATTTCATATTTAAAGTTGTGACACTGATAAAGCCAGAGATGTACAATATTCTCATTGCGACATCTCAACACACTTCTCTATTTTTTCCCCTCCATTCCTTCCTTCACCCCGCACCCACTGCTTTGCTACGCCCTGTGGCTGATTCAGGATTGGTAAAAAGTAGCAACCTTTCATACACTTGGCACTCAAGAGGAAGTTTACGATGTCCAGACAGCGACAGCAAAGAGAAAGTCAAAAAGGCAACAGGGCGAATTTTCGACCGGCTGAACTTGAATTCGAACGTTCACTCGAAACAGCCTTAAAGGTGATATTACACGAGACAACTCGCAACAACCATTTTTACTGCAAGCCGTAACACGGCGTTGCAACATTGTTGCGATATTGTTTCGAATGGTTGCAACATTGCTCCAACATTGCAACCCTAGATATAGGCATGTTTTTATCCCCTAAAAACTTTTCATCTGTTCGGATTTCCTAGCTGAAAGTCTAGTGATCCGAAAATTATAGGGATAAAAACTTACCTTCTCGAAAGCTTCAGCCAAGAAAAGGCTCCCGAAAATTCTAGGTGGTCTTTTTTATGGTCAAAATCCGTTAAAAATGGTTAATTATACCATTTTGTAGATGTTCGAAAATCCTAGGAGAGGCAGGCAAGCAAGAAATTTTACAACAAATGCTCCGAAAATTCTGGATCTCAAATCGTCTTCCGAACAGATATTTTCCCGAAAATTGCCATTGGGTGCCCCTGAGTATAACATCACCTTAACCGTACGAAAATTCAGAGGCATAGCCGTTCAAAGTTCCATGTGAACAACGAAATAATTTCACGTTTTATGGAAAACGTGAACACGATTATCAATTTTTCTCTTTTCCGCTTAGGTGGGGTAACCTCCCTGTCCATAATTGTAATCTCTCACTTCAATTTGATCACGTTTACATGATAGGTGGGGTGACCTACCGCATGTTACCTCACCTATCTGTGGTCCCCCATCTCCATGTAAACAGTCCCTAAGAATTTAACTCCGTCCTAGACAAGTCCAGGACTCGCCTGCATTTGACAAATTATGCGTGTTGGATTCATCGCAATGAAGTTTCAAACAACGCGAATTCTCTTTTTAAGAGACGTTTTCACCACCGTTGCTGAGTTGCAATCGGTGTGCGAATATCTGCTAGATACGCGTTTCTTAAAATCCTAAAACTGCCGACGAAAAGGCAGACGTTTTAAAGATGGGAACTTAGTGAAAAAGCAAGCACGTCTCGAGCTTGGCGATATTTTTCATGGATGAAGAAAAAACAATAATTGGATTATAAGTGGTTGTATCACTGACGATAACAGTTCTACTGTATACTACAGCTCACCAGTCTATTACACTGTCCCTTTTCTGTAAGGTACAACAGATTATCAATTGCCACCAGCAACGATGAACCTCTGTCATGCGGCATAAT